TCTTTTGACAGCCCCCAGTAATTTTAAGTGTAAATTGGCCCGCCAACTACAAAAGGTTGGACCACACTGGTTTAGAAAATTACGCGTGTGTATCTAAATCAAGGAATATTTTAATTATTATTTAATATTTAAATGTTCGTCTTTTATTTAAACCACAGCGTATACAGCATGAATAACAAAATAAATACCTAATTAATTAATGAGTTATGATTTGTAGGTTTGTTAACTGGTTAATGCCTGCTTTTATTATTGATTAGGTATAGGATAACAGGCACTCCAATTGCGTCGAAAACGTCGTAATAACTAATAACTACTAACGACTTAAAATGAATTTTGAAAGCCCGTAGAGGACATTATTATGGTGTAAGTAGTAGTTTTATCTCATAATTTTGCGAAACAAACTTCATACTCGAAGCTCAATGTATACTGTCGTTAGTATAACAGTTTCTTACTTTTTCGAATGAATGTGCTTTAAAATTGAGTTGATTAGACTCTAATAATAACTGAAATCATTTTAAAATTACAAATTTCGCTAAAAAAATACAACTTATCTAACACAAATTTCTCCAGGTCTGGAGAATAGTCAGCATTTTTTGAAAATGCTTGTCAAATATATTAATTATTTTTAATTTGATGAACCACTTAACTAAAACAAACATTCCAGTCCAAACAAAAAAATTCTTTTATCATTCATTTTTTTATCACAACAAAAAACCAAAGTACAACTATACCAGATAACTTAATTGAAAAATTTCTGATGCTAAAATATATTTTTCCGTTCACGACTGGGAATTTGTAAAATATATCTATTCTATATAGATATAAAACTTTTAGAGCATGTCTTACATTCAAAGTCGTGGAATAAATTGCACACGGTAAAACAAATAGCTTTCTAGAAAACAATAATCTATTCATAGCCACTCAATATATAAAAAATTAACACGATTAAATATATGAATAAAGCTTTTTTTGCAAGAAAATTATTGAACACTAAATCTTAAGTACTATATCTAAAACTACACATTTGATGACTGCATAATATATTTATTATCCGCAGTTAAGTGTTTATGCTATACAAGTAGATTTAGTTAACAAACACAAACAGTTAATCTTATAATTGTATATAATTATCAAATTTGTAACTCGCTTTACATGATTATATTTTTAAGTGACGTGTAGAAAATTATGTCTATTATTTGATTTTAAGATGTATATTATGTTTAAGTATACTACACCTAGGCAACTAACTTACAAGTTACTGAAAATAGTATAAATAAAAGATAAGACTCAATTCTTATTTAAATAAGAAGCCGGGTTAGCTGGATTAGGTTATTTATGATTTCCCTTGTTGTTTTAGATAATCTTGTATTCCTACTATATTTATTAAGTAGGTATAGTACCTAATGCTTGCGTTTCGATAGACATTCATATTGCACAGCGTTAATATTAAAATCACCGAATTAATTTATTTTTATTTTGCAAAACACAGTGTTTGCACAGTTTTTTGATTATGCAGGTTACCGGTTGATATTGGTAATAATCATATATTTTATTTCTTATTAAAACTTGAAAGTGTATTTCATAGTTTTTTACATTACTTGGTTACTGGTTGTCATAATATTTTTATGAACGTTTATTTTATATTGTATATTTGATCATCGTTTTATTTATATATATGTTTCAAATATATTATAATTTATAATATATGTGTTTTTATGTATTTAATATTAATTTTTCGATATTATAAGAAAAAATATTTAATAGTGTTTAGTTTATTCAAGTAGAACGGTAGAAGATGTGCATAATTTAAGAAATATTATAAACGTTAATCCATGTACAATTTATTTGAACATCAGATGGAAAACTGCAGAGTATTATAACCATCATACGAATATAAACAACTGCAATTATGTATGGTATGATTAGTGATTGGGTTGGTTTAAAGTTACATTATTTTATTTCTTATTTACTGTTTTTATACACTATTGAGATGAATTCAGAGTGAGATCGACAACTACTGGCAGATATTAACCATAGATTTCAATTGCATCGATGTATACTGCAAAGGGCAGAGTACTAAGCGTACAGTATATTCAAGTACACTTCTATGTACTGCATCAATAGGGTGTTAAGTATCATAAACAGCTTAATAACTGCATGTCGACGAGGGGAACTATATGTGTACACGATGTGTTATAAGTATATCTCATAATGGCATAATATGATGTCGACTTGTATAATAATCCGGAGAGCTGTTACCGGCGGAAAAGAGAACGGGACTCGTAATTATCAGCCAAATTCTCTATTCAGCCGTCGTATGAATATTATAATATAAATTAATGTGCCGGGTAGGTACCTTTCGAGTGAACGGGTACACCTCGACATGAGAAATTGCTACACGCGGGGTCTCGGCCCGATAATCATTTTGGAAATACCGTACATAAGCTCCCCGTCGGCAACAGCAACAGCTGAACGGGAGCATAAGTTTTCGTCAACTGCACTGTAAGAACAGAATATAGACCGTACAATATTATATGTTGAAGAAAGGCTCGGCGGCACACAGTCGTAGTTCGCAGTGCAGGAATTTCGAATGCGGTTATCAAAACGGTCATTATAAACCGACAAGTCGTTATCGTGTCCAGTTTGCGAGAGACAGACGGCCGACAGCGGTTTTTGTTTGTTACAATGCATAACGACCTGGAATATTAGCCACTTGTGTCGGTATACCGGTTAAGGGACACCGGAAGTCGGTTGCACGGAAGTTTTGTACACAGAAAGGGGTAAATCGTACCCGTGTAATAGTTTGCGTTCAAAAGTTGACGTTAACCTATAATAAAGTTTCCCGGCGACACATGTGCTATTGATGAGGCACGTAATGTCACGCTTGTTAGTGTACGCCCCTCCCCCACCGCTCTATATATTATACCGGTTCACCCTTCAATCTCGTTACCGGAAACTTTTACACAAAACAACAAGATTATCTGTGAATTCCTATACGATACGCGTTTTCTCCGACAAACCATTAAACTCTATACTGCATGCAGGTACCGCGCAGACTGTAATACGTTTGGAAAAAAAGAAAATGTGCAAGACCTACGGAGATCACAAGCCGAGAACATAAAGTTGTTTGTATATAATATAATACGCCGTACGCATCGTATTTATATAATTTTATTTTCCCGTAACCCAATGCGATGTTTGAAACTTTGAACCGTTCAAATTATTGATGGTTGCATCTCTCTTAATAGTTATTATATATTGATTAAAGTACGGATGTATTGCTGCAGGTACTGCAGTTTTGGTCGGACGCGTTTTTTATTGGATAATTAATTGTAAGTTGCTCATAGATTTTCACATAAAGTAAAATATTACTAAATAACATTCATATATATAATAATTTTATAATACACCATTAATATTTCAGTAGTAGCTAAAAAATAAAAATGTATATACCTACCCATAGTTAGTCTGCAGTTGAGTATACTATGTTTATTGCTTGATTATGGTAATAATGTATAAATATAAATCATGTCAGACATTTAACACCTGAATTTTGTGCTTGAAGAAATATATGTAGATATATATAATATTATTAAGTTTTGATTACCTATATCAGACAGCATTTTGTGATGATAATAATATAATATTAATCTAACAACGTTATACTAATATTATGATCACGAATAATATTATTGAACATATATTTTCTGTATAGCTATAGTCATTTTTGTTTTAAACTTATAACAATATTATACGTAAATACAATTTGAAATACCTACTCAAATATAATGGAAGAATTTGTGCACTTAAATCATTGTTATGTCATAAAAATAATATATACAGCTATTTGTCTAGCGAATCAAAACATTTTGTTTATCGAAATGTTTATTAAGGATTTTTACATTGCGCTGCTGACTCGCAATCAAGAACATAATATTATCATAACTCAATCCTCGTATGGAATACGCATAATATTATACTAGGTATATCAATTGTCTTGCAATCACTAAACGTTAAAATACTTCTACATCATAATGTCATGATTCATGATACTGTAATCCTATGTAATGTGATGCGATACTGTCGAAAAGTGATTGCAAAATAACAAGATTCACGCGTAGTGCTTACCTACTTACACATAGTCTATTATATAAATAGGCAGGCGACTATAAGTATTATCTGTAAGGCACATAATATTATATGCGTTACAAAACTATGAAACACAAGTACCTATCAATGCTAAGACCGCGATGGACATATTATAACGAAAATTACCGGTATACAATAAGCGTTATACCATTGTATGGTTTTTCAAACTATATCGATCGTTTTTCCATTGCCTACTCGTTATACTGTGAGACTGACAACAACGGCTTTCGAGTATTTTGCGGGCGGGGTCGGTCGTTATAATATTATTATTATATATTATATAAACATATATACGCCGTCGAGTCTATATCATAAACTTCGCGACTATTATATTATCTGCCTATATACGCACATAATAATAATATTATACTACGTTCACTTCCGAGTTCTCGGTCACCCCCTTCGAGTGCCTATTATTATTATTATTATTGAGGATACGTTAACCTGTGCGTACAACTGCTGTCTGCTGCAGATGACGTATGACGACGACCACCCATATCCAGGGGCATAATAATACTGTCGAGGGGTGTAGCCCCTCTTAAGTAGGTGCGGTATACGCTGCAGTCGCTTGTCGTGATAATCATTGTACCTGCAGGTATATACGTACTTACTTACCCGAAAAACAAACGAAATTCGCGTCACAAACGGGCGACGGACATGATATTACTCGCGTATTTCACCTCAAACGATGTCCAAATCAACGTTTACACTAGCGCAATGCACATATAATCGTTGACCGCCGACCAAATCAAATTATAGCCCGGAGCGATATGAACCTAACCAATTGCAGTATAAAAGCTCGCTAAGACGGAATCGCTTGAGACCGTCCAATTTGTGTGTCTTGCCGAAGTTTAACTGTACTTAATATTATATAAAATGCACTTACTTCTGATCATCCTGCCGTCTTCGGATACCGCACCGGAACTCGGCGTGTCCCTGTCCGAGCACTCGTCCTTGTGCTGTTGGTGCATCGTGGCAGCGGCGCTGGACGACGGCGGCGACACGGGCATGTTGCCCGGCGAACAAGGACTCCTCCTGGGCGGATACGGAAACGACGGCGGTACCGGTTGTTGTTGCTGTTGTTGTTGTTGTTGTTGTTGTTGTTGCTGCTGCTGCTGCTGGAGTTGATGCTGCTGTTGTTGATGATGCTGTTGGTGCGAACCCGGCGGCTGCTGCTGTTGTTGTTGTTGTTGCGCCGCTCCTTCGGCGTGCGACGCCTGTTTGTCGTCCATCTTGTAGCATTTGGCCGGCGGCGCGAACGCCGAAGTGAACCCCTTGAGGCTGGCCGCGGCCGCAGCGGCCGCGTGATGCGAATGGTGTTGGTGGTGCGGGTGCTGGTGGTGCGGACTCGGCGGGCCGAGCGGTTGGAACACGCCCGCCGGCGAAAACGACACCCGCGGGTCCAGCGCCGGGTGCAAGAACGGCGACTGCAGATGGTGCAGCAGGTGCGCGGGCAGCGCCGGGTAGTTCTCCATGAACCGCAGATTGAACGGGCTGTGTAGGTGCTTGAGGTCGTGCATCTGTCGACACACAGAACAACAATACATAATCGTGACGGTAGGTACATTGATTTGATATTTGCATATTATTTCCAAAGTCGCGAAAAACGATCTAGCCAAAAACATTAAGTTTAGGGGGTAGCTACCTACGTTAAAGACACGTCATACGCTAAAGCTCATCGTATCTCGTCTTGGAAAATGTCCCACACAGCACTTGGGAAATAATAATATTTTGTAAATATTTTTAAGTACTTGACTGATAATATTGTATAAATATTTTATACTGATGATAATATAATATTAGACTATATGATTGCATAAAAATGATGACTAAATATTTTTATAAAGTTTCGATGAAAATGTTTTTTAAAAATATATGATTAAAATAAATTTAAATTTTTTTACAAAATATTTTCCGAGTATAAACTTTTTGGTCAAAGAATATAACTAAAATATTTTCTAATTATTTACGTAACTTTTTAAAATATTTCCACAGCTATATTATTTTCTTGAAAATATTTTTAACTTGGTTAGAAAATATTAAAATGCTGTGTGGGGTACATGTACGAGCAGTTCCAACGTTGCCCAATTTTTTTTTTATGTTTATGTTGATTAAGTCTGCAGTCCCGATTTATTTTGGACTTTAACAGGCAATCTAATTTGAATTTCCCTATCTCGAGCAAAATGTTTTTCTAAAAATACAGATATATTATAGTATACTGCCACTGACATATCAGGGATGGTCCCATATTGATCTTATTTCAAATTTTTTTTTTAAATTCCAACAAAAATTTTTTATTGGTGGGTATGTGGTTGAAACTGCACACTCATCAGTATAGTCATTAGTAAGTACAAATATTTTGACGGTGAATGACGACGAATATGAAAAAAACAGTTATAAATTATAATCAATGCTCAAATGCACAATTTGGTAATGTTGTTTTGGAGAAAATAATTCTGAAATATTGGAAATATATGCATATTTTATTAGGAATGAGGTATACTATTATTACGATAGCTAAATCTAACTAGAGCCAAACTAACGGGTAAAAATAAACTAAATGGGTGGGCTATATTAGCATGTCATTGGATTGGCACATTGAATGAAGTCATTGAAGAGTTAATTCTTAAAAAAGGTGGGCAAGTGGGTACCTGTATTAAATTTTAATGCAATGATATTTAATCATTGTGTACGAAAAACGATTCTAAGTGAAGGCGGTCTGCTGGCTTATATCTTATACTATTATCCTAAAAATTTAACTTGAAAATAAATAAGTCAATAAGAGCTTAAACCATGTATAGAAAATTGTAATATAAACATTTGGCGAAAATTTCAAATATCTTTGGTTTTTCATCTCTAAATTACAAAAAAATAAAAAAATCGCTCAATGAGAAATCGTCAATTTACCTAGTGACTATCTATAAAATATGCACTTCAAACGCTCATAAAAATTTGATGTGACTTTCCGCTAAACTTTTTTTTTTCCATTGAAAGTAGAAACATTTATGAGGTGTATTAATTTTTCAAATCTTAGAAAATTATCAATTTTGATGAATTCCTAACTCAAAATAATTTGAGAATGTTATTGATTTTGATTAATTTTATCAAAATTCTATCTTAACCCTTGAGTAGCTCATAAAAATTAATGAGAATTCACAATCAATTTTTATTTTTATTTTCCTAATGAAAAATTATTAGGAGCCTTTTATTACATATACAAGTTTCTTGGCACAGTAAAATTATTCATTGGCAATAATAGTAAAAAAAAAGTAAAAAAAGTAAAAAAAAACATTTCTCATGTCTATTTAGATATAAATAGTATATAGGGTGATTCTTCAAGCATGTACACCCCTTTTTGTCTTGAATAATGCAGTTATTCAAAATCTGATATTTTGAAATTTTAAATATACTTGAAGACCATAATTTCTTATTCTTAAGATTTTTTGTACTACTTAAGGAATGTCCTATGGAGATACTAAATTCTGTTTTTCAAATGAAAACACACTTTTTCAACTGTAAATTATACAGTGGATAATTTTTCTGAAATATTTAACGCATCAGAATCAAAATTCGTATGGGTAGTTTATGATTCAACTTTGTGTTCAAAGGATAAAAGGTCCATGGTAATGGGTTTATAAGATATGGAGGTTATGGTGATTCAAAAATTGTAATCATTAATATTAATCTATCAATATTAATAATTTGTAAGAATGGCCTAATAGTATAATAAATAGGTACTAGATGCAGTTTTAGGTCTATTTTATATTTATGTAAAACCATTATTAGGGACTATTATTCTTTTACATTTTAATAACTAAGAAAATACTCATTAGAATTTTGAATTAGGTAAATCACTAAATCAACATTTTCAAAAAAATTATAGACTAAATAGTTTACAGTAAAAAATGGTGGTTCTTATTTCAAGAACAGAAGTCTGTATCGCCACAGGGCACTCCTTAAGTCGTACAAACAAATTTAAGAATTTGAAAATATGGTTATGAGTATTTTAAAAATTTCAAATATCAGAATTTAAATAAATTCATTACTATTGAAAAATGGGGGTGAGGATGCTTGGTGAATCACCCTGTATATAGCTCAAAAAAAGTAATAATATTTTGAAAATTATAAAATGTTTGTGGAAAATGGTCGTATAAACATTTGGTGAGAATTTAGTAAGTTAAGTATCTACGGTTAATCATTGTTACAAAAAAAAAAAACCAAAATTAATTTTATTGTAAAATTGAAGGGCTCTGTGGAAAATCCAGACAACAATATTTAAAAATAATATTCAGGAATCAATTTTGTAGCTACCTGGAGCTCCCTGATTTTAACCATAAAATCAAAAACTGCACAGCTCCAAAATGTATATTATTATATTACACGAACTGATTGGATAAATTTGATTTTACACCGATTTATCTAGATTTTTTTTTTAATCTAAATTATGAATTTAACAGGGTTTTGCATTGAAATTCTCATTTTTTCTAAATGTTTTACTTTATACTTGTGAATACTCTGAGAATTTTTAATTTTGATCTTTAACATACTAACTATATTCACTGAAGTAGAAAGTATAAAATTGAAGCGTTTGAACATCCTCACTACCCTCCTTAATATCTTATGCAAATTACTCGAGAAAATGATTAATCGCCGTCTAATTTGGTTACTCGAAATAAGAAAATTCTTCACCATAGAACAAAATTACTTCCACCAAAATAGAAGTAGGTACCTCAAATAATCTTATGAGTATAAAAAATACAGAGATTGAAGTAGCAAAGAAGAATAAAAAAAATATCGGTTTGATCAGCTATGAAATTGCCAAAAATTATAACCCTGCCTGGAGATTTGGAATAAAACACAAACAAAATAATGTAGTACCCAAAGGTGAATTGTTTTACTTTATACACAATTTTTTACATGGTCACATATTTCAATTAAAAAGGTCAAAATATCCTTGCTTGGTGTATCTATCTATAAAATAAAATAGACTTCTCAAGGTAAAAAGTTGTACGTGACCCTTTTCTTAATCACCGTTAACTGACATATCTGAGCAAATACCTAAGACTTACTAATTCCACTGCTCTACTCAGATGATTTTACAATCCATGTCAAAGACACAACCACATAACCATAAAACAATTTCTACAAGACACAACAAACGATTTTTTATCTTGGTAAAAGGTTAGGCTAACGCAAAACTAACCTGGTTACAGTGCATTCTTCATATAAGAAATTCATGCACCTCAGACACAATATAATAAAAAATCAATCCCACACATCACATGAAAACTATACTCTAACATACTTACCAAAATACATAAAACCTTTGTGTTGTCAAAAATAGGCTATGGGTCAGCCATATTATATCATCAGCTAACCATTTTGTTTTAAAAATCTGGAAATCATTCATAATGCTGACATATACGTCTTTCAATATGAGCATTCCGATCGAGCCCTATAAACAGCATTCAGAATATTGCAGTTATACCCTCTCTAACCCTACAATGGTTAGAACAAATATCTATACTTGTTGCCAGAATATCGAGTACTTCGATATGAATTTCTTCAACTCCTAAATGCAATTATAGAAACCTAAGTGAAAAGATTGAGCTTCAAACACGCAATATCATTAGAAATTAGTAATTGCCCACCAGGGTCCATTTCATCAGAAATTTATCTCAAACTTTACCAACTTCCTAAGGAATCTATTTGTCCAAAACATTATAACTATTATTACGATGAGCTCTAGCCCTCATACTCAGATGTTTACATATGCATCGATAGTAGACAATATAGATTCGGAGCAGCAATCAAATGTTTGATACTGAAATTCACCTAAAATTATTATATAAATGCTCAATATATACCGCAGAAGTCTCTTAGCAATACTTGAGGCTGTCAAATGTACAATTAAATCAGTGTAAGACAATCGAGTCATACTTAGGGACTCCGTTGGTGCGTTGACCAGTAATATCATAACACTTACCCCCAACCGATATTGAAATGTCCATAATAACTGTTACATATTTCAATCAACATACCTATTTTATGTGGATTCCAGGATATAGAAATATCGCTGGCCGACCAATCTGCTAAACTTGCCCACACTTTCTCTATTATAGGTATCATTATACTTAGTTATTTTACTTAGATGTTAAAAAAATTAATAAAAAAGCGGCCAAGTGCTAGTCGGACTCGAACACGAAGAGTTCCGTAGCAGCAAATAACATAAATAATAAGTCGTTTCGTTCGGCCGGCACGAACATTGGCCCCACCACCAGGTCCAGCAGAAGTCTTATACCAAGTCTCAGACCATTATGGCGTTATAGCCCATCTTAGTCTATCTTGGCCCATGATTGAGATTACATTTTTAAATATATACATGACAAAATAGATACCTATATATTATATTTTATTATATATATATTACTATTAATATTATTATTATTATTATTATTATGATTATTATTGTTATCGTTATTGTTATTATTATTATTATTATTATTATTATTTATTTACTTATTTACTTATTAAAAAAAAACTTCTTACTAGATCTCGTTCAACCAATTTTCGGTGGAAGTTTGCATGGTAATGTGCATTATATATTTTTTTTTAGTTTTATCATTCTCTTATTTTAGAAGTTATAGGGGGAGACACATTTTACCACTTTGGAAGTGTCTCTCGCGCAAACTATTCAGTTTAAAAAAAATTGTTATTAGAAAACTCAATATCGTTTTTGAAGACCTATCCATGAAAAAAACATGTTTTAGTTTTAGTTCCAAGTATTGGCAACCCTCAAAATGTATTTATTTTTTTTCTATGTTTGTGTGAAAATCTTAATTTGGTTCATAAAATACATCTACTTACCAAGTTTCAACAGTATAGCTCTCATAGTTTCGGAGAAAAGTGGCTGTGACACTATGACGGACCGACAGACAGACATGACGAATCTATAAGAGTTCCATTTTTTTCTACGAAACCCTTAAAAGTTATATACTCTCAACTTTTTGATAAATTTGATTAAGACTATATTAACAAACTAAACCAAATCAATAGGTCATAATCATCCCCTGGCGTATCCAACAACGACCTATCCAGAAAAAAAGAAACAATAATCAACCGGCTCAGAAAAGAACACACAAACTCACCGCTCTACCTTATCTCAAAGGGCAATCCAACCATCCAAAACACATGTGGCGAACAACTCGGGGTAAAGCCGAAAATAAACAAAAATACCATTTTTTCTAGCAAGAATCGGAGAAACTCTTTCCTCTACCCAACTCCAAGTAACTATTAGTCCAGACCACACTACTACAATCAAGTTATTCAAATACTTCAAACTTTCTAATCTGTACCTACCATAACATACAAAATGTTACGAAATTTACATATAATATTGCTTAAACTAACACTCTATTTTGTTATCTATACAATGGCAGTAGCTGTTGTCGATGCATTTAATAAAAAAATAAATACTATTATATGTACAAACAATATTATTCTATTTTGTGCATTTAAGCATTAGGTTCTGATCTATAACCTAAGACAAACCACAAAAATAACTGATTATGCCACTATAGCAAGTATAATATATGGTATATGTATACGATATAGTTGTAATTATTTATATTAAACTGCATATCGTTTTCTAAGAATCACACGCTAAATTTAACTATAAAACAAACATAGGTACCTAAATTATTTACTATTTAATAATCCGTTAAATTCAATTTAATATAATAAAAAGTATTAAGTGTACACTTACAGTTTTTGTGTGTCTAAAGTTGTATTAAAGTCAAAATGTTCACACAAAAACCAATTATTTGTACCAAAAAATTGTATTCTAAAATTAAATTGACGTATTCGTGATTTAATGTTTGTAATTAATTGTATATTAATCATGAATAATATTATATATAATTGTATTAAAACAATATGATTTTTATTTATTTAGCGGTACATAATTGTATAGGTATTAGGTACCTACATAATAATATAACCTACTCATAGCACAATTCATTTAAAGTACTTAATTTCAACAGTACTAATTAGCTCAGTATACTCATAACATTATATCTACCTATACATCACAAATCAAATAACACAGATCTGATATTCAGCTATACTTAAATGTTCGTTGATTATTGCCACTGACCTACACAAGTGTTCGAAATTGGATTTAACTTTTAGTATCAATACATTATTCATGCCAATAGTATGCATTGTAATACTTTTGATATAACTTGTGCCGAAGTATCGATTCATTACAATGAACATTTGAAATTTGAATTCTGTCATCATGTATACAATTTTATTACTAGGTTTATTATACTGACCATCAGCCACAAAACTATTATTAGCTACTATAACATGCAAATACAAGCTATGTTTTATGCAAGCATTTATAATCAGCTACAAATTACGATGATATTAAATTATAAAGATAAAATTTAATGTTACTTATACTATCTATCGACACTAACTCAACCTTATAAAATTTTATTTTCATTATTAATTTATAAATGTAATTTGTCCATAACTATTGTAATCAAAACCTAAAACAATTATTGTGTATTGTAAATTTAAATAAAAATACTATTATTATAAGTAATACAAAATGCAATTATCGTAATGACACTATCGTGACGTCAAACGAGCATATACAATAGTTTATTAGTATAATTTTCGAACAATAATTTATGTAAATCATTGACATAATTTATTTGGCGCGAAACACGTACAATATCTACCTCCTATTTTACATTTTAATTTTTAACCGATACGTTTATACTTGGACAAATGCACCACTATAGTGTGTCATACCTACAGGGCCTGTTACAAGGAAACGATCAACGTATACATAGTGCATGTAGTTGCTTTATTTGAACGCGAAAAGGGTGGCGGGTCATATGCAGTGGACAAGATTGATTACAGCGAATATTGTGTAGGATAACGAGAAGGAAGATGTTGTGCCAGTGATAACAACGGCGAAAGTGAACGGAGTTTTAGAAAGATTTACGGATCGTCGACAAGATAAAAATGCCAGAACAAATGGCCACATACCGAACCAAATACTATTTGTATGGAAATAACACAAATGTTTACATAAAACATACGTGTACATGATTGTATAGCCTCGTGTAAATGGATAAATCCTTGTGGATTTGCACAGCAGTTTACTGGATACCTAAGAGGGTTGTCTCGAAGTTACAGAAAGCCTAATAGTTTTATAGATCATATTGTCATAATTTGTTAAATAAAAAAAAAAACTCTTTTTACCCAAAATGAATTCGTCGACTTGGCGTAAAACGTAATACTTAAAAGTATATTATCGTTATTCAAAATTAATAATTATTTTTATTGGTAGTATAAATTTGGTACACAAAATAAAGTTGCATAACATTATCTCGCTCGTATTCGATTGTATTTCTAACAAGTCACTATCTAATTATGTAATGATTGATTTAACACCTTTCATTGTTTAAATACTTTTTATCATGAACACTAATCTAAAATGTTTCATAATGTGTATTAATGTATAGGTACTCCATAATATTTATCCACTTACAAGTTATATTATACTATTTTTGTTAAATTGAGTACCTTAGTATAATGCTATTTATCAAATATTAATATTTTCGTCTTATAAATATAAATTAAAACAAATAAAACGTTTTACATGTTCATAAAAAGTAAGTAGTTTAACAGCATAAAATATAATATTTTTCGTTACATTAAATTATCTTATCAAAGGTTAAGGCCCTAATAATTCTAGTGATTTGATGAGTTGAACAACATTTAGGTACCTTGTACCTACTTGACAAGTTCTTGACAGTAATATTAGGTATTTTTCTCCAAAAAAATCCTTGACATGGTCGTATATTTATACAAATGTACACAACAAAAAATTGTAATTCATAAACAAAATTACCTAAGAAAACTTATACCTTTTTTTATAAAAATAATATTATAAGAATATCAAAACCGCTTTAAACCAGTTAGTTATTCAATAATTGTTAATTAGATTTTAATATTACGAATGATTTGATTAAAAGTTTATTTTGAATAAATATTGAAATAACTTCAATTAACCTAACCTAACCTAACCTACCCGGTATAATACATAGGCAATTTAATATTTATTTTCATAAATACAAATAAATTAGGATTTTCATTTATATAGAACATGGGTATTACAAGTTAGCTAATCAACAATGTGTAACTCGTGTTGGCTTTATGAAAAACGGTAAAATTGCTTATTATAATATGTTTTATTTTGTGGTTTTTACCTTAATTTTACATAAATATAGTCCTAAATATATCTATGTTATGTTATTAATCACCTTGTATCGAATAGAAAATACGTAGTTGTAAAATCATAAACTACGTTTGTAAAGTATTATAATAACTGCGTAATATAACATATTGAACTGGCTATTTGTAATTTTTATCATAATATTATCTTGTTAATTTTTGAGTCTTAAAATAATATGTTTATTTCTCCGTGTAAGTAATAACGCTAGTGAACAAAAAAAAAAAAAAAAATGTTTGTAACTTAATAATATGTTTTATGATTCTTAAACATGGCATCTAGCTAGTTATCAATACGTTACATAATTTTTAAATCGATTTAGAACTCAAGAAGTTCTTAAGTACTTATTTTAGAGTAGTGACATTCCCATTTGTTAAGCTTCAAAGTAAAGATAAGCTATATTATGTACACTTATGTAGTGTTGTAATTTAGTTATATTATACAAATTACAAATTATTGCTAGAGAGCTTTTGTAATCGTTAATTAGTTTATAGTGAAAATTGTATGATAGGTATTTACCTGACTAAATGGTCTGTGTAATCTGATATCTGGTAAGTTTGTTGGTGTTGGAAAGTTTACCAATGACGATGATGGACTCGGGCTTTGCGAATACGGTGAATGCTCCATCTGAAAATAATATTAGAGAATTAATCGTTTAATAGATAATTGTCCATCGACGTAGCGAAAAATATTACTGTTTAGCATAACCATATATACCACCAGCCATAATAATATCAGAAAAAACTGTGATTTATATTATTAATTATAGGTAGGTATACAAAGTTATATTAATACCTAGGTACCTGTTACTATTCATCGTATTGTTCTATCATCGTAATGTTATTATTTAGTGGTTTATCATTACTTATACGTATGCCTGACACGAATATAATTGTTTAGTATTATAAAAATACTGTAAGTAATCTTTATAAACTATCAATAACCGACAATTTATCATATGAATAAAGTAGGCAACATTGCATATTTAATGATCTGAGAACGCGGATAGTGGTCTTTGTTATTGAAATGTCTAAGGTATAGAAAAAATTATAAAAAATAATTGTCTAAACATTAAGTAGATACGAAAAGAATAGTGCTGTACCTATTACACCATAATGAAGAGCAATTCGCATTATTTGTCCCTTGCATGGTAAGGTGTGCACAATAATATAATGTAAGTATGAAAAAAAAGGCAGAATAAGGCATAAGCATATCAACACTACATAGATGTGTGGTAGTTAAAATCTCAGTTTATGGTTTCATTGACTCGTAAATATATCACGTGTATTTTTTTTTCAGTGCTCTAATTCCAAAAACGGAAGTGATGATGTTTTTCAAGGTGTATAAATGTTTCAGGGTCATTATTTCTGGATCAGAATCGAAACACGACATTTTATATATTATTTCCAACTGTGAGACATTAAGAGTTGTGAACCAAAAGCAAGAGACAAATACTATACCTATAAGACAAATGACAATATAAGATAATATAATATTTGATTAATTTGTATTTCAACTTCTGTTTACTTTCCGAAGTTAAATTAACTCTCCGTTGTTGCATAGTATTGTACATGTTGTAACTCGATAAAAGTAATATAGCTAGGCAATTAAAATGATTATAGGTAGGTATTCAATTCCAAATAATTACTAAATTACAAATATACCACTTGTACGTCGGTTAAGAGGTTAAGAAATATATTTATTTGTGAAGGAAGGAAAAAGAACGAGCCCAACATAAAGTCACTTAGGTAGGTATAGACGTATAGTTGATATAGATTAAATAATTCATAATTTCGATGTCTTTCCATATCTAGAAATGTCCTAAACTCTCATTCCACTATTTCCACTACAATCTAGTAGAAGTACCTATAAAAGTATAATATATTATACGAATTAGACGAAAATATACTGCCAATCAAGGTTTTCTAAATAATTTTAAAGTGGTCAATTAAACAATTGTATTTATGCATCCGACCATCCAGATATTTATTTTTTATTTTCTTAACGAACTTTATTTTCTATACCTACCAACTTTTACTCGGTGGGCCCTCAAGTTGTATATATTCTCAGCTTGGCCATCGCCCACCATAATTAGAACTTAAATCAAGTGTACGAATAATGTCAAAAACTTAAATTTATCATTTTTAACCTTATTAAATGCGTTTAAGCATTATATATTTTTGATTTCTTAATTGTATTCATAATACCGTTTACACGACGATGTTTATGTTGATTGTATTGTCTATTAATGACTTTTGAATACTGCAAAGCAAATACTATGATCTATGTTTAACGATTAAAATCAGATTTACTAAATTTAACATTCAAAATTCAAATATACATTTAATTTGTACTACCTAACACCTGTAATTTATTGTATTATTAAAGTAACTAATTAGCACGTAAAATAAATTAGGCTTACCTACTGACTGCAATAAGACGTTTGGGTAATATTTAAGAAAGTTCTAAATTATAATTTTTCTTTGAATAAAGATGAATTTGTTTTGAACAAATAATTATAATAAACAATAAGGGTAAGATATAGACTAAACAAATAATCGAGTAGAAATCAGTCGACAGATTTAGTTTATTTTAGCTTATTATAGTTTTTAACTAATTGTATGTAAGTAAACGACATTTTAGAGTATTAGTTTAAGGTATGACTGTATGACACTATTTTATCCACTAATTTATTTCAATATAAAATTAGCAAATATTTTAAATACAATCATCCTGTTTCATATGAACGAAAAAACAAAGACTATTTCTAAAAATAATGGAAACAATATAATATCACAAGGCCTAAAAGTGAAAAAAGTACTAAGGTCGACATTGTGTTTAGTTACAAGTAGTATAGCAGTAAATTTATTAAAACAGAAAATTAAAAAACCTACAGTAGCTGTTCGTGGTTTCAGAAAATAAATGAATTCCAGATTCAAATATCAAATATTATCATTACTGATAACCTGTCCATAACCTACTTAGGTGTTTTGGAACTTATTATCTCATAAAAATAAGATAAATAGTGACTTATGAGTTATGTGTTGTACATAATTCTATAAAATGGTTATAATCTTAAATTTTGTTAAGCCTTAAATCATATAGTAATCAATTTAGTTGGTAATAATAACTCAAATATTTATTCTATACCTATGTACATTATTCACATAATATATTATATTATTCACATATTATATTATATTATATTACAAATTATAAACACATTGATAAAAATTATTATTAGCCGAATAAGTACCTACTAAATGATATTTGGGTGGTGTTACCATAAATTATTTTTATAATTTATAAATATTTAAATAATTGTGACTTGATATTTTGTGTTTCTCCTTAATTTGATTTTATAGACAAAAACGTGTGTTTTTATATATCATGAGAATTTAATAAATTATTATACAAAAATGAATTTATATTTAATTTTTTGTTTTATTTAAATTTTATTTAAATTTTATTTATACCTATCTATGAGTTTTTTTTAAACAAAATAATAATATTCAGGTGCAACTGTTGCAACAAACTTAATAAGAAATTATAATGTTACGATAACTGTATAAATATTTCCGACGTATTTTAGTAACAATATTTTTGTCTTTGAATTAGTTTCAAACATATTTATCACCCCAATAAAACAGTAAACTAGGTTTGATAATAAAATTAACAAACAAAATAAAAAAAAATATTATTTTATTGTAGTTATGTAGATACCAAAGAACTAAAATATATAGAAAACTCATTTATATACCTGAAAGCATAATGCGATTAGTTACCTACTGTTAAGATTAAGAAAGCATCTTCTTTCAGTAAGTAACTTCTGAAAAAATGTTTACATATAGGTACAATATTGAGAAATTTTATCTAAGCGAAACATAATTTTTTTTTTATTTCTTTCAAGTTGATATTTACTTAAGTGCTAATCCCAATCATGAAATGCTCAGATTGTAATTTCATTTATTTTTATTAATTTATTACAGGTATAATATTATATAGAAAGGCAACTAACGCGCTTGAAAAATCAATCCAATTATGTTTCAATTTTAAATTTTAACCGATTTTTTTACCTTGGCGTGTGAACTACTACGTTGAAATGGTGAAGGCGGAGTAGGCGACGTCGGTGGCGACAACGGCTGCAGCGTGTAGCCGTTTCGGGATTTCCCGTCAGGGAAATCGCGATCGGATAAAGATTTAAATTTGAAAAAAAATTGAATACCTAATATATAAAATTATGATGTTTCACTGCCGTGTGGTTTTACGGTGTCCGTCCCGTCGGCGGTGGTAGTCTTTTTCTTTTTAAAAAAAATTCCAAACGATAAGGCACCGGGCCGACGTATGGTTCGCATGTGTAAATTACGACGTACACCGTCGTGTTGTTGTTGTTGTTGTTATTAATATTGATTAAAATATTATTAGTGTACAATTCGCACGGCCGGGCCGGCAACGCGTGGTCACGTGTGGAGAACACGGAACGGCTGCAGTTGCACCGGGGACGGATATCAAACGCGTACTGAGTGCATAGCCGACGGCGGCATCGGCGGCGGCGGCGGCGGAGGTGGTCGTCGTCGCGTTATCACGAAACGCGCGCGCGGAAATGAGTCGTCGTAGTAGCAAGCAGCTTCGGCGGCGGCGGCAGCAGCAGCAGTAGTTGTTATAGTAGTAGTATAGTAGTAGTGTAGTAGAGTAGTAGTAGTACTGTAGTAGTAGTAGTAGTACTGTAGTAGTAGTACCGTAGTAGTAGTGGTGAGCAGTAAGTAGTAGTAGTACGTGTGCGCGTAAAACGGGCGGCGGTAGTGTGCGAGCGAGACGGTCGGCGAGCGGAAAAGCGCTTGTGGCGCGGCGATACGTGGACGAGAGTAGCGAGACGGAGAAGCAGACGGTGGTCGGAAGGCGGCGGCGGCGGAGGTGGCGGCGACCACTACACCGGTCGCCGCGGCGTGTATAATATGTTACACTGACGCACGCACGCGCGCTCTCGCCTCGTCGCGACGGCTCGCCCAGGCGTTATGCGCGCGCGAACCGAAACGGGGGGGCGGCCGTGCCGGAGTGTCCGCCGGCCAGTCCCACACCGTCGAGTCCACCCGCCCACAGGCCGCCGGCGCGCTCTCGCATTCGCCGCCGACTCGGCGCGCGGTTTGCGCATTTCCGCCGCCGTCGCCGGTACGCAGGTGATCGGCTGCGGAAGCTATCGGCGGCGACGACGACGACGTTATTCCTGCTCAGCTCCGCCGACACGTATTTTAATAATCCTGATACCGGGTATGCGGTATACTCGCGTGTATGTGTGCGCGTGGTAACGCGAGTGCTTGTTCCTGTAATATTAAGCAGTGGTTTTTTATTTATTAATTTTTTTTCGGGAACCAAAACCAGCGCGTTTGGCGACTCGGAGAAGTCACGTGCACGCGACCGCGAAATCAAAACTCTAGCGAGGGTGATGATAATATTAGTTTATTAGGTATTAGAATAACACACCGCGGTATAAAACGTACACGCTAGCCACTATATGTAATTATAATATTATATATTTTATAATTATTATATAGTGCATTGCGGTTTTTGGTGTCACGAATTTTCGTCATTTTAGACAATAATGATAATGTAGAAACCATCTACTGAAC